AGAAAAAGTCTGAAAAGTCTTTTTTTATTGTGCCTTTGTTTTTCTCAAAAAGTGCAAATGTGCAACATGAGGTAGGCCTGTATGAATTAAATTAAATTAAATATTGTGTGTTTGAGTTGGCCAGTGGTTCCAAAATTTTTCTGCTGGGCCCCCTCCCAACCCCCTTTTTTCTCTTATGCTCACCAAGGCTACATTTATTTATTAAAAATACAGTAAACACTGTAATATTGTGAAATATTGTCAATTTAAATTATCTATTTGAATGTTTTAACATATAGGCTACTGTATTCCTGTGATCAAAGACGAATTTTTAGCATCATTACTCCAGTCTTCAGTGTCACATGATCCTTCAGAAATCATTCTAATATGCTTTGCTGCTCAGTAACCATTTCTGATTATTATCAATGTTGTAAACATTTGTGCTGCTTAATATTTTTGAGGAAACTATTTTTTCATGATTCTCTTATGAATATTTGAAATTGTCCTGTGTCAGAGCGCTGGAGTTCGTCAGAAATAGAACGGGGCATAAGTTTACTGTCATGGATTTGTCGCGTCGCGCCGCATCCACAACAGAGAACCCTGGGTTCTATTTGCTTTTGTCAAATCGCGCCGCTCGCGTATGGTGTAAACATGTTGTTTTGGTATTTGTGAATCTTAAGTATATTCATAATCTGCTTTACGTTTCCCTGGCACTGGAAGTCCTTTCACAAACTTGTAACTTTTATTCTTAGAGCAGAACCATGCATCGTTCATTTATATGGACATGGCTCTCTGCAATACAACTCTGATTCTTCAATCGCGCTATCTAGTGGTCTGCTATTGATACAACCACAACTGCTACAACTGATAACGGAGCACTCAAGCGGGTACTGCGAGTCATGTTGAGGTAATTAAAAAGTCAAATTAATATTTTGCGCTCAATTATTTACTTATCAGACATGTGGCCGCATGATAAGCGGGAAAATTACGTAGTGCAGTCTTTATCACCCTGCAGAGATTTCTTTTGCAAAATAATCTGCTGACTGTACACTATCCCTCAGGCTTGCCGCGCCCCCCTTGTCATAGCTCAGCACCCCCCAGTTTGGGAACCACTGGAGGAGGCGATTTGTGCTCTATTAATTTGGTCTGTTACGATGCTCTGTGTTTGAATACTAATGTAGTACTGCGTTGCACACAGAGAAAAAAAAAACGTTCAGCCGCTCAGGACTGTTCAGGACTCTTTATCGTCATTTGTGTTAAAATTTGCAAATCATACCAAATTGAACAAAACTATATAAATGCAAAATTTTACTTCATGAATATATAACGGTATTCACGATATAGCAAAATCCATATCATGGAACAGCATAATACCGGTAGTCACTTTCTTACCAGTATAGCGCCCACCCCTAATCAACTCAAATAAATAAATTAATTAATTCAAGTTCTACAACCTTCTACATCTACATCTACAAGGGTGAATACCTTGTAGAGCGTCCTTGAGCTTGGGAAAGGCGCTATATAAATTAAACATATTATTATTATTATTATTATTATTATTATTATTATTATTATATTCTCATTTTTAAAGTGCAGGGACAGTTAAAGACCCCAAAGAGTGCATAACATATTTAAAAGTAGCAAAATCTGACACACATATACAGTATCTCACAGAAGTGAGTACACCCCTCACTCCAATGTGGCTGAATTACAACAATTCTGCATAGATGAGTGGACCAAAATTCCTCCACAGCGCTGTAACAGACTAATTGCAAGTTATCGCAAACGCTTGATTTCAGTTGTTGCTGCTAAGGATGGCCCAACCAGTTATCAGGTTTAGGGGGCAAACACTTTTTCACACAGGGCCATGTAGTTTTGGATTTTGTTTTCCCTTAATAATAAAAACCTTAATTTAAAAACTGCATGTTGTGTTCACTTGTGTTATCTTTGACTGATATTTAAATTTGTTTGATGATCTGAAACATTAAAGTGTGACAAACATGCCAAAAAATAAGAAATCAGGAAGGGGGCCAACACATTTTCACACCACTGTATATATATATATATCTCAGTACCATGGGCGTCAGAAGCAAAATAAATGTGGGTGGGTCCTCCCCCAGAAAAAATTTACTTTTGGAGTATATGCCATTTTCTGTAGTGTGGTGCCTTTTAATTAACAGTGTCTATTTACACAGTGCAAATAGGCCGCCTGGTTGGCAGTGGCTATTTACTTCACCTCCGCCCACTAACGTGACAACATTACAAAAGACGGCTGCTCAGCAACATTTACAGTGGTGTAAGTGGTAACGCGGGTTGCGTAGTGTTTTTGATGCGAGCGACCCGAGTTCGCGTCTGCCTTTTGCCGAAATCATTCTTCTCCCTTTTCACATCTCATATCACATCGTTTTGTTTTCAATAAAAATAAAAATCAAGGAAATAATCGCAAAGTTGAAATAAAGTATCAGGTAGGGTTAGGTGTGTCTGAGCAGCAGATGCTGATGCTTTGTTTACTTTGCTGTGTCACGGGAGTGCAGCAGGTGCGAGTAGTGAAAACACGGAATGGAGTTTAATTTATATGGACTCTGAATGAGCCAAGTGGAATGGGTTTGAGGAAGCAGCAGCGTGGAATTCAAGGCTGTAGCTAAATGGAGTTTATTTTTTTTAGGGCATTCGTCATGTGGAATGGATTTGACTGACAGTGCTCTGAAAAGTACCCATATTATTCGCTGAATTAGAGACAGTAAAAGTGGGTGGGTCCAATATCATTGGTCTTCAAAAGTGGGTGGGTCCTGTCCCACCCTCATTCAGTGGTTCCGACGCCCATGATCAGTAATGTCAAACGATTAATTGTGATTAATCACATCCAAAATAAAAGTTTTTGTTTGTATAATGTGTATGTACTGTGTATATTATGTATATATAAATACACAAACATGCATGTATATATTTAAAAAATATTTACATGTATATATATTTGTTATATATAACGTTATATTATATATAAACAAAACATTTTTCTTAAATATATACATGCATGTGTGTGTCTTTATATATACATAATAAATATACAGAGTACACACACATATTATGTAAACAAAAACTTGTTTTGGATGTGATTAATCGCGATTAATCGTTTGACAGCACTAATATATAATATATATTTCCCCCAGTCATTCAGCGCATCTTTCTTGCTGTGTGTTCAAAAGGCCCTCACACATCACGCAGCACTATGAAATTAGTCTGATCACCAGAAAATTACTAGGTTTTATGTGATGAGACGGAATAGCTGAATCGTGACTTCAGTCTTTTTTATTTGTTTAATCAGAGGAAAACCTGAATGTTATTTTTAAGAAGTGGATGTCTTAGCCTGCAGATTGAAAATCAGTGGTGTATGACTGAAAACTCAGTGCTTTTAATGCAGATAGAAGACCCAGTAGTGTGTGTAATGTCAGTGTGAGTAAGACTGACTCATCACTTTACTGGCTTCACTGCGCTGTGGTTAAACTACAGAGTAATTACTTCACATGCTCTGACACCATACTGTCAGACCCGAGTTACTGGTACTCCAAAGATTGTGTGCTTTTTAGAGTACTTTTCACCACGCTTCTCTCTCTCCTCTCGACAGAAACCTTGAGAGACCTATATTCGGCAGATTTATTGTGTCAGTGGGAATACCATGTCAATATCAAATTACATATTGGCACATATTACATATTATCTCAGTCCTCCAGAGCCCTGTAGCTTCCTGCCTGATTTACACCCCCCCCCACCACCTTAGAGATGCCACTGCCTGCACCAGCTGTCCTGCTGTTACACATATAAACCTAGGGCACTCAAGCCTGCACTTAAACCAACAGAGAACCCAGAAAATTGGTATTCGGTTCAGTTTCACTTATTCAGGGTCTGTAGGACAAGATGGATGGGTGGCTGGGTGGGTGGATGGATGAATAGATAGATGGATGGATAGATATGAATTATTTAGTAAAAATGACTCAGAAATTGCTATTACAATTAGAAGTAAAAAAACTGAAATGAAAACATATTTATTTATTTATTGATTGATTGATTGATTGATTGTATTATTTTGGAGATGTTTTTCTATATTGTATAATATTTTGGTAGTGTAATGATACTATATCAACCCTCAACGGACACCTTGGCAATTGAATCGCCATTGGCTAGTATATTTTTTTGTTTACTCGCCAGACTGAAATACTATACTATGTATGTATGTATGTATGTATGTATGTTATATATATATATGTATGTGTGTGTGTGTGTGTGTGTGTTAAATTTAACAGTTAAACATTTTAGCTTTTGACAATATAATGGTTTAACATACAAAAAAATGGTCACAGAATTTATATAATTTTACTTAATTTCTTTTTATTGTGTATAACCTTCACCTTTATGTTGGCACTGTTTAACATTTCTCAAATGCTGATTTTAAAAGTTGCCTTTTTGGTAATATAGTAAATATGTAAAGTAATAAATATCTAAGGTTTCATATTATACAAATCCCTAATTTCTTTAACATTTTGTTACTAATATTGATAATAATTGTAACAAGGGGTTTTGAACAAATAAAATTGTTAAATAATCTTTTAAACCAAAAAGTTAAATGACAAAAAAATACAAATAACATCACTGAATCGCTGATCATATTCAGGCAAAAATAAAAGATGTTTATTTGTCCTATTAAAAAGTGTTAATCCCGTTCAAACTAAGTAAGTGATTGCTGATCAAACAAAAATAAACATTTTGACATTTTTATGAGGTCTATATTACTTTTGATATAAATGTGCATTAATTTGTAGCTTTGAAAAGGCAAAATACAAATGTATTATTATTAAATAAACAACAGATTATTATAAATTTTTAAATGAATAAATTGGCCTGTTTATAGATTCAGCTCAGTATTGTTGAATTAGTGAAATATTTATTATTTTACAATATTATACACTATTTATGACGACTCTTGCTGATTCTTCTGTTGATTTTTTTGTTTTTGTTTTTGGTCAGTTCTGAAGATAAGAGCCATTTCTACAGGAATCATCTGGTGCTGGAAAACCCTGTTGCATCCTGTGAGGTGAAGGTAAGGAAAGCTGGAAGTAATATCCAGGCTCTCATCACAAACACACAAACTGATCTCTTGTCGGCTCAGCATCAGTGTGGTGTCTCCGTACAGCTGCTCTCTCTCGGTGGCCGCTCATCTGTGGCTATCGCCCATGTGGGTGTGGGACTGGAGATGCTCAAGGGCAGACAAGGTGGGCCGAGTATAGACCCAGGCATTGACCTTCAGTGTGTGCTGACCATGATGGAGGAGATGGGCACCACCCTTTCACCAGGAGCGCAGAACCTCATGGAACTGGTGCAGTGCCAGCAAAAGGTCTGAATCCAGCTTCTTATTATAGCAGAATCACCACTGCTTTAGGCTTTTTAATGTGATATTATATAGTCTGCACAAATTTTCCAGTGTAGAATCTCAGTAGCAGCCAGTAGCAACCTCATAGCAACACACTAACATTCAGAACACCTTAGCTAAAACATAGCAGCACACTGCAGAACACAAGCATTGTGGTGGTCAGTTTTGCATGGGCAAGTTCCATTCCCACTCACATTTTTGTATAAATCTAGTAGATTCAGCAGATTTTGCCCCTTTGGTAGATATAATTTCTTGTAGGTGTTTCTTGTAACAGTCTGTCATTGTTTGACAATATTTTGTTGACATTTTTTCCCCATGGCTCCTTATAGAACAGCTTTAACTATGTGATATTTGAGGGCTTTCTTATTTGTCTTGTATATGTAGGCTTTTTTTTATTAATTATTACCCGTTTTATGTGTGTGTGTGTGTATGTATGTGTTTCAATGTTATTGTGTTTTACTCTTAATATTATATAATTACAATATGGACATCATGGTTGCCTTTAGCCATAGACCACATCTTCATCATTTACATTTACATTTACATTTAGTAATTTAGCAGACGCTTTTATCCAAAGCGACTTACAAATGAGGACAATAGAAGCAATCAAAACTAACAAAAGAACAACATGTAAGTGCAAATGACAAGTCTCGGTTAGCCTAACGCAGTACACGTAGCAAGGTATATTTTTTATATATATATATATATATTAGGGATGTGCATCTCCATGACTGAGGCCGATACGATACGCATCTTGATGCATGCCAACGATACGATACATTAAAGATACATATGAAGCAGCTACCGATGCGATACGATACGAAACACACATTAACTCATTTGAGCTTAGTAATTAGTACTGTAGCCTACTAGCTTACATTTGATTTACCTATTAAAGTAGTCCATGCAGTTACTGTTATCATAAAAATACACTTTATATGTAGGTTTAAAATTCTAAAAAAGACACATTTAATGTCCAAAAACATTGTTTTTATCAAAATGTATATTTTACACAGAATTATTGCGCTCCTATTCGATTGCGCTCCGTCTGTTTAGCGCGCATGCGTGCAGCAGCACTCGTTGCTCTCACGTGCCTCGCCCACTCCTGACAGCAAAATGGATATGTTTGCATGACTTTCTAACATTTACAGATGAAAAATATACATGTGACATGTCAGTTAGAGGAAAACACAACGTCTCAAATGCATTAAACAGCACAGATATATTCGCTGTTTGTCATGGTGGATCGATTTGATCCATGATCGATTAAGGTCTGCTTAAGAATAAGCGTGCACAAATTAGTGAGATTTTGTGAATTTAATTTGTCGTTAATGGAACCACTTTAGCCCCGATTGATTTGTTAGGTTATTTCAAGGCAGGTTTTGGACTTTAATCCCAGTTTTTCCTCGGGTCTCCGTGATGTTGTGATGCGTCATATTCACGCAGCAGCAGCGGTGATGAGAGAGCGCGCTTGAGAAACAGTTTAGAGAGGAGAAATCAATCTACATATAAAATATTGGTCACAGATTATTGGTCACTTTCTAAATAATAAAAGTATAGCGCATCCACTAGTAATTATATATAAATGAATCGGTATTTAACGATGCAAATATGTTAGAAACGATGCATGGCGATATAAATGACAGCTTGTAGCCGATGCACACTTTTTAAACCGATGCATCGCATCGTTAACTTTTTATACCGAAGCACCGAGCGAATCGGGGAATCTTCCCATCCCTAATATATATATAT